CTCGCGCGCGCAAGCGCGCGCCGCTTCCAAACAGCTCAGTGCGGCGCAGCACTCCCAAAATGGCTCGTGAGCTTCGCGCGGGCCTCAGGGTGCCTTTGAAGCAACTCGCGGGCGTTTTGCAAGCACTTTAGAGCCCCTACGATTGCAGGCCCTACGGCCTCCAGCCCTCAAAATCGGCAGACCCTCGAATGACAGAATTCTGACCTAGGTCTTGAAACAAGGCCTGTGGCTATCACAGAGTGGGAGCTGACAACACCCTCTGCAGAGAGAGAAGCATGAGCACCAGGCTTCTCCACAACAAATCCACCTAACTCTGCAATCTCTGTTGTCAGCGTCGGGCTTTCATTTCGAAGTTGGAGTTCAGGCTAGACCTTCTCTCTTCCACGAAAAAACTGTCTGGAACTTTGTGGAAGATGATGTTTGGGGTTCATAGGGGATTCAATTTTGGGCCTGGACTTCAAAGTGCAGAGCTTGAGGTTGGGCTCAATTCTCTGCGGACTCAACAAGTCGTTACAAATTGGAAGCCGTCATGGTGTTTCCCCAAGCGTGTTCTTCACACTCTTGAATGTGGAGCCATTTTTTCCAGTTTGGCGCGGATTTTTTGAAACAAACTCTGGGAGAGGTTCTAATGAAGGGAGGTGCGAGTCAATACGACCAGTCGGACCGCACTTAGCCGGCCAGTTTTGAGAGGCGCCTTTTGTCGATCTTCCTGTAGTCAGTTCTCAAAGAAGACCGTCGGCGCCTTGCAGAAGAGCCAGCTGATGAAGAACAAGCACGGCAAGATCGTGAGCGCGGGCAAGACCAGCCTGAAGCGTGTGCAGGGCAGGCTCACTGCGGTGCAGACCACCAGAAAGAAACTGGGCATCAAGGGTTTCTGCCCGGCGGCAAGAGCGCCCAGGGGAAGGCGCTTTGCGCCCAAGGCACTCTACGCAGCCTGATCTGAGTCAGAGCCAAAGGGCTGAAGCCTGCTTTCGCTCATGCCAGAAGTCCCTCAAGTGACGAAGTGAGTTTGTACAGCTTTTGTCGTGCTCGGGGAGGCGGATCCTCGCGATGGGTTCGCGAGAGCTAGCAAGCAGAGCGTTCGTTGGTCTTAAAGCCATGGGCGCAAAGTCTGTATGTCAGGTACTCACATTGAACACATTCAGTTTCTGGTGATGAGCTTCTGTTGAGACTTTAATGGTGGTTTGATGCCCATGAAGACCTCATGAAGAAGGCAGCGTACGTGGACATTGGTTTAAGTAGGATTTTCTGTGAACTTGACTTGGAGTGCCTGCCTGCATGCATGCTTGGATAGGCTTGGACACCGGGCCCATTCCGAAGGGGCCTTTGCCGTCAGACCTTGGAGGTGTCGCTGGAGAGCCCCAACGCCCGAACACACACAACACCCATCCATGGACCACACAAGAAGCTGGACCTGAAACCGCGGAAACCAGTCATTCTGTCATTCTTGAGCCTTGGACCTACAAGCCTCCCTGGACGTGAGGCAATGAAGGCCAGCGTGATGAAGGCCAAGGCGATGAAGAAGCCTATGAAAGCAAAGGCCAGGGCGTTCAAGTGATCTTGGTGACTTAGAGGCGGATTGATGGCTTCCGCTTCGGTCGTTCGGACTCGTTTTTGCAGAATCGTTTTTGAGCTGTTGCATTTGTTTGGAGCCACCTGAGGCTTGCCGTTCGTTGCGATCTTTAGGTTTATCGCTTCTTCGTACTGCTCTGCTGGCGAATCACGTGGGTCGCTTGATGTGAGCCTTTTTGGTAGGAGGTTTTGAATGGAAATGTTGTGATGTAGGAGCTGGAAGTAGCAGATGCAGGTTTCAGAGGATGACTTTCGCAGATTAAACTCTTGGGGTTCTGCAACGAAGTCCCGTGCCCTGTTGCGCGACACATGTTTCGGTCCGCATAGCATGGCAACAAACAAGTGATCTGCCTACATCTTAGAGTACATCCCTCAAATCCTTGAGGCACCCCTGCAGTTCCTTCCCTCAGCGGAGTTGCTTGTCTTTGCTTTGTCAGCGTTACGGGATTACGGGAAGGCCGTTTGTTTTGTCATGCAAGGCTTTTGGTACGTTTGTTTTGTCATGGAGGTAGGAAGAGCAGGAATTCCTTTGGGCCATGGCATTGTCGGCAAGCACGCAGGCGATGAAGAAGAAGGCTGTGTCAAAGATTGCCAAGGGCAAGAGGGCGAAGTTCGTGGTCTTCCAGGGCAGCAAGGCCGGGACGGACGCAGGAATACGACCATAGTCGGGCCGCACTTGACCGGCCAGATTTTGAGAGGCGCCTTTTTTTCGAAATTCCTGTAGTCTGTTCTCACCTCCAGCCTCTTCAGGAGAAGACCGTCGGCGGCCTGCAGAAGAGCCAGCTGATGAAGAACAAGCGCGGCAAGAAGGCGCACGCGGCGGGCAAGACCAGCCTGAAGCGTGTGCAGGGCTGGCTCACTGCGGTGCAGACCGCCAGAAAGGAACTGGGCATCAAGGGTTTCTGCCCGGTCGGCGGCAAGAGCGCCCAGGGGAAGGCGCTTTATGCCAAGGCCAAGGCACTCTACGCAGCCTGAGTCTGAGTCAGAGCCAAAGGGCTGAAGCCTGCTTTCGTGGTCGTTCATTGAGCAGGCTCATGCCAGAAGTCCCTCAGGTGACGAAGTGCTTAGCTGGTGAGTTTGTACAGCTTTTGTCGTGCTAGGGGAGGCGGATCCTCGCGATGGGTGCCCCACGCAACCCTTTTCTTTTTATGTTGTCGTGGTGTTTTCTAGCATGTTGCTTGCACGCATTGTCAACCTTAGTTCATGTAGCTCTTTCGGCTGCAGATCCGCATGCGCAGCTTTTTCACACACAAAGCGCATGCATCAGCAGCCGCGCAAACGACACTTTGCATTAGCAAGATCTTCCTTTGCAACATCACGCCTGCGTAGTCTAGAGGGGTAGTTTGGGCCTCGCATGGTCTTTTGAGTGTGCCTGCCCGCCTGGCCTGCACACTGGTCCTTCAAGCACGCCTTGCCTTTGCACCCTAACTCCCTAACCTGTTCGCCCCTCTGCCAGGTACTGCTGCCTTTTTTGCCGGCCGCCTGCTCAGATCGCCGCCTGCACTCTTGCTGCAACGCCTTTTGAGCCGCCTGCCCTCCTTTGCTTGTTCAGGTTGAGTTTGCCTCTGCGTGCGCCCGCCTGCGCCACCTCTCGCCTGACGCTTTGCTTTCTCCTTGCGGGGCCGCCTGCCCCAGCCCGCCGCCTGCCTTTGCACAGGTACCTCCGAACTTTGCCATGGAGCCCGCCTGCACCTTCGAAGGCCCGCTCTGCACGCTTGTTTTGCCAGCCTCTTCTGCACGCCATGCCGCAGACGCCTTTCGTTCCTTGCAGCCTGCGCGCCTGCATTTCTTGAGCTCACTTGTTGCTCGCTGCCGCCTGCCAGATCGAGCCGCCTGCTTGGCTACATGTCTAGGGCATGACCGCTAGCTTCTGCATGCACGCCCTGCCACAGCAGAGTCACACACTTACACACACACTGGCCGCCCGCCTTAGTGCACGCCAGCATGTTTCTAGATTGCTTGCCTAGATACTCACTGCCCGCAATCTCGGCATGCCGTGCTTTACTAGGTACTTCTTAACCTACGCCCCGCCCGCTCTACCACTGCCCACGCCCGCCCCGCCTGTTTTACTTTGCATCGCAACGCCTGCTGCCCCTGCTTGCCTGACCGCCCGCGCTGCAATGGCTTCCAGTGCCTGGCAGTATCTCCTCCAACAGGCGGACGAGAGCCTGCGCGCACAGGTGGGAGAGCTACAAGTGCGCCGCCTGCTCCGCGCTTTCGCAGATGCGCTGGTAGACATTGCCACCACATCCGGCACTACCAGCGCCGCCAGCTCGCAAAGCTCCCAGCCTGCGCTTGCACAGCCCGCACCAGCACCTGCAACGCCTGCGGCCCCGCCTGCCAGCGACTCTTGGCTGCATCTTGGGACCGTGTTGCCTGCGTTTGGGGGTGGTTCCTTTGTGCTAGACTCTGGCGGCCCAGCCAGCCAGCCCGCACAGGATCAGTCTTTTTGCGCGGGGCCCGCACCGTCGCAAGCCCAGCCTGCGCAGCCCCAGACACAGCCTGCCCAGCCCAGGCAGCCCGCATCCTCCTCCACCGTGCCGCCGCCGCCGGTGCCCGAGGTCAAGCGCCAGCCCCGCCAGCCCCGCCAGCAACCGGGGGCCGACACGCCGCTGGAGCACATCTACGGCCCCCCGCCCGCCCGCGGCTATGCACCCAGCCCCGCCCAGATCCGCCCGCCCTCCAACTTCCCGCCCGCAACGCCCGCCGGCAAAGGCAAAGGCCCGCCCGCCAGCGGCAAAGGCGCGCAAGCGGATTGGGTCATCGACCTTGACGTGCCCGCCGGCGAGTTTTCTGAGCAGCGCCCGCCCTACGCCTGCCTTGAGGAATCCCCTCTATGCCCGCAGCAAGTTTATTGGTCGACCGCGGGGCGTCCGTTTTACATCGACGCCTCGCGGAAGATC